GGTTTGGTGAGAAATTTGTGCGTTTAGGCCAGGGTTCGGCTTCATGTGGACGGGGCCTTAAACTCAAACTCACTGCGGATCCAGACATTTGAATTGAGAAAGCTTCCTGGAGAGGTGGCGAAACGTCTTCAAATCTTGGAAACCAAGTCCAGTGGATATTTTTTTTAACTTTTACGGAATATGTGATGATGTCATCTAGCGCCTTTTAGGACCAATAGTCACTTTTCTCAAGGAGTTGACCTTGACCAAGGCACCTTACAGTAGAACTGCAGTCAGTCCCTGGACTAGCATGGCTATCACTCCCCCTACATATTTAGGGACTAATTTCCCACTGGGATCAGCTTCATAGTCATGGTACGACACTTCTTTGATTTGATTTATTTTGCTCAGGCTACTCGTAAGCCCACATAATGTTGAAAGGGCAATATTATTGCCATTACTGTTAATATTTAGTAGAAATTTTACACATTCAGCAATAAAATGTCACAGGGGATGGTATGGACACATGGTCATTTAAGGAGGGGGATGATTTGAAAGATTTTTTTTAGAAGGGGGATGCCATCCCCCCTCATTTCCCCTCATCCCCCCTCAACTGGAGTACTGCTATTACCTGTTTTGACTGGACAGAGCTAGCGCCACTGGACGCCATGTATCGTTACATAAACGACATGGCAATGTTGATATTTTATTTGAATGTATTGAAAATAAACAGTATTTTTACTTCATTGTATTTCCATCAAAATAAGTGTTTATCAAATAAACTCTGTTGTTAAAGTTTATGGATCCCTTTAAGAATCCAACGGTTTTTATCTTTCTGATCAAAGACATCCAAATGTCTCAAACTTTTAATGTAGAAGGAACAAAAACTGGACTGTGAACACCGCTGCTCATCTTGATAGGGAGCAGATTTGGTGGAAATGTTAGATCATTATGAGGTATTTAAAATTTGTTGCATTGAATATCCTAACAAACTCTGCTGCATTGGAGAAGAAACACTGTTTTAATAGTTTCAAATGAAACTTTGGAATTCAACTTTTTATTTTGTGTCGCAGTGTTGTCTGGTCTGAGCTGTGCTGAGGTCTGCCGCTGTGTCGGACATTTTTTTTTTTAAGACTGGTCTTTTCTTGTTTCCCTGGAGGTCAGGTTGCCAAACTGTTCCATGATTCTAGCCTGGGGAATGCAGTCAACGTGGTGGTGACACGGCTCATCCTGCTCATGGAAGACCAGGTCGGTTCGCAGCTGTATGTCTCTCTCTGTGCTTGTTCTCATAAATCTCTGACCTGCGTAAATTATTGGCTTAAGTGTTGTTTCCTCCGCCCCACCCAGCAGACTGTGTGTGTGAGAGAGCAGCTTTTATGAATGGCTGCTGTAATGACAGAAATGAGAGGATGTTAGGAAGGTAAGTAGAGGGAGAGATGATTGAACGGAGGCGGAAAAAAACAAGCAATGAGGGGAGTTTTGTACGTGTTGCACAGAGCCGCCTTGTGACTGTCGTGTGTGTTTCTGCGGTAAACAGGGACCTCTCTGATGATTGCTATGACACCTTTCCAAGAGGTAGAAAATCCAATGCATGGATTTAAACAGTTATTTAAAAACTGATTTATATGTAACAGCAATTTCATATTTCTTTCTATTTCGCCTTCAAGCTAACAGACTTCCATATAATCGTTTAGTGGTTCTAGTTGCAATAAAGAGAGTTTTGCAAAGAGATGACTCTAAATTATTGAACACTATTTTACATCACAATTTCTAGATGTAATTTTATGAAAAAAAAAAAAAAAAAAAACAACTGACCTTCCTTTTTCCAACTGAAAAACATAAAACATGTGGAGGTTTGCTTCTACAATGTGAGGCGGTTCTGATAAGGTAACAAATGTGAAAAGTGAGCGCAAGCTCTTGCTTTGTTAGTTTTGATTGAAAACTATGAATAACACCAAAGAAAAAGTGTTCATGTTGGTCCATCCCGCTACAGATACACAAGAAGCACTGAAACAGCCTCAGCTTGCATGGCTGCAGACTCTCCTATGATGTAAGATGCAGATCAGAGGCCAGAGTCCCCACCTGACCACAGGGCAGGAGTTCAGCTCATAAAAAGTCCATGACCTTACCAGCTTAGCTCGAGCGATGACCAAACCACCTGCCTGGCTTTCAAATGACTGTATTAGCTCAACATTAACGGCATGTGGTTAACAGACAGTTGCTACGGGTATTACGGCGTGGCTTTGAGGTTTCCTCCTTAGCTGCCTTTTAGGAACATTTCTAATTCATAGTGGCTCAAAATAAGCTCTGGAGCTTACCGCCCGGATGTGTTTGTTATCTGAATGAGCGAACATGTAAATGTTAGTCTCATTAGCGGTATTCTCTATTAGTTTTACCGTAACTCCACTAAAGGGGAGCAGATACTTCATGCGGTTTTTCGAATCCGAAATGAAAGTCAAAGCTGTGCCTGAAAAGAAAAACGATGCCATGAGTGGGTCCAGAGATGGGGGGACTGTGGGATGAGACAATTACCAGTTATGTCACCACATGCATTCCTGGGTTACGAGTTCTCGCCAGCTGCGGTCTGCAGAACACTCCCTGAGCTCCCACATAATGTGGTAAATCTACACAGTTTTAACAGATAGGAAAGACTAGCATAGTGTGAGAGGAAAAATAACCTCAGAGCAGGGGAACTGTTTTGCATTTAAAGAAACAAATGCATAACTTTATTTTTCCAGACATGCATCGAAGTTTACATATCCCTTTTTTCTGCTCTTCCAGCCAACACTGGAGATCAACCACCATGCAGGGAAGTCTTTGGACAGTTTCTGTAAGTGGCAGAAAACCATCCAGCACCGCAGCAGCAGCTATGGGAACGCCATCCCGGACAATGGCATTGCTCACCATGACACAGCTGTACTCATCACCAGGTAACGAAAGATAAAGATGCAGATTTTCATAAAGAAGTTATACGTGATTTTCTCAGATTATCAAACTGATTCCTCAGAGAAAAAACCCAAGTAAATACAAAAAGCATTTTACAAATAATCAGTTCTTTTAAAGATCATTTTATAATCATTTTATATCCCTCCAGCAAAAAGACAAGTTAAAACTGATCAAATAAGGCTTTATTCTTCAAGCAACAATCCTAAGCATGTTTTGATCATCAATTTTGAGCCTAAATAGAACCCCAGCAACGGGAGCAATGAGCTGAGCTAAACAGACGTTGCGCCATTTATTGTTAGTACTGCTAAACTACCAGAAAGCCAGGTGATGGCCTTTGATGCGGCTACTAAATACGCGCTGACTGGGATGTAACGCCTCATGGAAAACCAACAGGGTGGAGGATAGCGCTTGAAAGCATTGCTAACAGCAGTGGCACTATTAACAAAGACATGTACTCTCATATCTATCAACTTCACAACTTTTTCAATTTTTGCAACTATGCTAGGAGTTCCACACTCACTCGTCTTTATTGCTCTGGCTTGTTGACCAATTGGACACATGCGCAGGGATTTAATCCCGGCCACATGATGTTGTTATAGTTAATATAGACGGAAAGCATATAGTTCACTACAAATTGAGCAAAGACGAAAAGACAATAATAACAAATGCTACGCAAGTAGGATACTGTAATTTGTCATAGAAAATTTGTATGCAACCAGAGTGAGTTACTGGCATATACATTTGAAAGAAAAAAAAAACGCTTTATAGGCACTCAGTGAAATACTTTGAAAATCAACATTTCAAGCCTGTAGTGTTATTGGAATCCAGGACAAGACCTTATTACTTTTCTAACATTCAAAAAATATGGATATTTTGATGGCAAAAATCAATATCAATGTAATAACAAGAAACGCCAACTTACCCCAATATATTAAGAAAAGTAACAAAAGTGCTTCTATAAGAAATTCATGAAAAAAACTCTGAGAGAGAAAGAAACACATTTTTTTTGTACAAAATAACCTTAGAGGCATTAATGCTGATACTGGCACTTACATGTTTTTTTAGTTTATAAACCTAAATATACAGTAATTGTTAACTAGGCTTATTAACTTTTTCAATTTACTTTTTAACTTTTCAATTAGCTTTTTACCTTTTTTTTCTTTTTTTTCCAACTTAATTTACAGTAGGTAATATATCACTCATGTTTGCTGAATGGCTGGATATAGATCTTGTGCTTGTAGACCTCACTGAGAGAGGGGGTGAGCCTTTTTTTTTTTTACTCAATACATTCAAGTTACTGTTTTTGTCCGATCAAAAACAGTAACTGGCCTGATTAAAGGGTTAAACATTTGACAACATGACGCTTTGCATTGCCCCGATAATGTGCTCCAGTGGATGGGATGTCTGTTTTTTTTTTTTTTTTTTTTTTTACATCAAAAACTTTGCTCAAAATTCTTATGAAATTTGGATGGAAACAAAGCTTATTACAGCATTTTAAAGAACAAACACCTTAACCATAATGAAAGATGATTATGATGGCGGTGTGATGGGATGGACCTGCACAGCTTGGCGGATTTGATGGAATCACACATTCTTTACACGAATTTCCAAAAGAAGAATCTATAGCCAGTAGGTTGTTACTTCCCTTACCACAGGCAGACAACCTGTCCAGAGGATGCCATGCCGTTCACACATAGACTGCTGGAAATAGGCTCTAGCCCTAACAGAGGCACTTACAATCTTTAAAAACATCCATCTGCCAGTCTGTCTCCGGCAGTTGTCTGTAGCATGTCAACAGTCCATCACAGGGAAAGCAGAGACCCAAAAGAAAAAAAAGCAAACACTCATACCACGTCAGGTTTTTGAACTGTGAGAAGAGGCCAGAGAAACCCATGCATACATGAGGAGGACATGCAGAGCCAGAGACAGCATTCCATCCAAGAATGTAAATTGGATTTGTGAGAAAAGTTACCCATCATTCCACTTTGTGGGAACAGCTTTGTTTTTGCAGCAGAGTTTATCAAGCCGTCCAGACAGATGACACCTCAGTGACGATCTATGGCTTCCGTCTATTGTTCTTCTGAATCTTAATCAGTCTGTCCTGAGTGCTAACGGCTGTGAATATGCTGCACACTGATCAAGCATAACATTTTAACCGGAATTAGCAACCTAACTTAAACCACTTTAAAAGTGGTTGTCCCTTTTGTCAGTTTTTATTTTTTCCAGATGTAAAAACACCAATTATGACCAACTTAGACAAGTTGCTACTGCAGAACTACAGGCGTATCACCAACCTTCCCTTCATCGGTCAGATTATTTAAAAAGCTGTTTTTCAGCACCTTCATAACAATGACCAGCTGCTTTGATGTCTTCAGTTCTGGCTTCATTGCTCACCACAGTGCAGAGCCTATCCTTGTCAAGATGTTAAATGATATCTTAATGAATGCAGATTGCGGAAGAACCAGTGTGTTGTTATTATGGACCTAAGTGCAGAGTTTGATACAGTTGATCACTTGGTTTTATTAAAGCGCCTGGAAAACTGGGTCAGTCTTTCAAACCACAAAGATCACATCTGATGATGTCCAGGGCCCATCTTAGGGTCCCTCTATTCAATATCTAGATGCTCCCCCAGACTCAGATGCTTATAAACAAGGAAATAAGTTACCTTAACTATGCATAAATATAGTATTTTGTGACTGTGCTTTGTATTGTATGTTTTTAATCTGGAAGCCAGGAAGACTAGTTGTTTGCCATGGCAACAGCTAATGGAGATGCTTAATAAAATTACCAAAATTACCAAATCAAGAGATTAAAGCAAGGGAGATGTGCAGCAGCTGTTTCAGACAAGGTTGCTGAGGGAGGAAGACTAATGACCAGAGTGATCTGAGTCGGGACACAGAGAAACTGCCAAACAATGGAAGCAGAGAGGAAAAGTGATACTTTAACTAGTAAATAAAAAATAAACTAAAATACTGATCGAACTGTAAAACTTAAAATTGACACCATCAATTGACATGCAAACACCTCAGGACCCCGAGAGCTGCTTTAAGTTGTGTGCTGACACTTAAACTTGGTTTAAGTCACAAACAGTTCCGTCAATCTGCTTCGTCTCCAAAGTGTTTACAGTTAATCGTGCAAATAATTATTTTTTTTCTTTTTTAAATGTTCAGTCTTTTCTTTGTGCTTCATGACTTTGTTTATATGACTCTTCCAGTTTCATTACAGCTGTTGTATTCACGTCTTACTGTTTGTAAATATTTATCTTGCTTCTATTATGTTTCTGTAAATAATTTTTTGGAGAATCTGTTCCAGTGGTCTTTTCTTTTCCTTGTTTGACAACATTATCAAACCCAGGTCAGTTATTTTGTTATTGCTCATTTCTCCAACAAGTGTCCGCTTTACTTGTTCCACACATTTCACTGATCTTAATTTGAATCAGAAAAGCGTATTTCCTTTAATCAGTCTAGTAGAAGAACATAAAAAACATAATTTTAAATGAAAAGTTGTGTGAACTAATATACCTAAGGCGGGTAATAAAACTATTGAAATGATGAATGATCAGCACCATCATCATATCTACATGAGTATTATAATATCTCTGTTAACTGCATCAAATGTGTGCCTTTAGATAACATGTTCTCCCTTGCTTGCAGGTACGACATCTGCATCCAGAAAAACAAGCCCTGTGAAACTTTAGGTAACATTCACTCACACAGATGTGCGATCTACACTAATCTAAAATGCTCACTGACTTTAAGCACTCGCTGTGCGTCCAGCGGGAGTTAATAGTGAACACTTAAGCTAAACATGAGCCTAGCTGTAACTCGTCTGGGGAAGTCATATTTAAATGTCAAATCATTCTGGCTTAAACATGTATATAAAAGTACTCTTTATCAGACGATATTGTCCCAAAAGATAGAAAATTTCTATTTAAAAAAATATCCTGTCTTAACATCAGTGTTTTTTTCCCCCCCTGTTATCTTATGCAGGCCAGTTAGTTATACGTCAGCTTGTACACCTAAATTGGTCAACTGTCAATCAAATATCTTCGTTCATAGAATCTTGATTCATATGTCGCAGCTAAGATAAGCAACGGCTGAAATAAGAAATAAGATGCGTTTACTTTCCCATTGAGTTTCATCCCAGTGTTCACTGGGTCTTCAGCAGGTGTAGAGCTAACAGAACTGGCAGCTTTGCGAGGCAAGGGCTCAAACATGTACGGCTGTAAGCCTTCTACACCAAACCAAGCTCTTGCCGCCCTAGCGTCCTCTTCCACAACATCTTCGTCCCCGCTTTCCTCCTCTAAATAAAAATTGTATGACGAGGAGACTCATCCATGACCTCCGACACAAAACTCTCCACCTCTTGCATGTTTCCACTGTCCATAGCGTTCCTTGACAGTGTCGTTTCTCAGTCACCAATTTAGTGCTACTTGGTCCCAATGGAATTTCCCATTGGGAACCTACTACAACTAACGTGCTAACTGGTTAGCAAGATGCTGCCGAGATACCAGCCACAACCAAACTTGCTTGCAAACTTTCCGCCACAACAATCCCGCCGTCTTGATAATTGACCTCTGATTCAGACCAATCACATTTACAAAGTAATTTCCCTCTGGGATTATAAGTATTTCTGATTCTGATTCTGACATTCACTTTATTCACTCGTGTAAAGTCGGGCACCACTCGGGAGAATTTAAAAATGCAACGGTTGGAACAGCTGCTTCCCTACGACTTTAAAGATCGCAAAGTTCTACTCGAGTTAAAACATACTTTGGTCTCTCAAGTGGTCTTCAAGTTTGAATGAAAGAAGGTATTAGATCAAAGAGCTGCCTAAAGTACACACAAGTAAAAATACTGTTACAAGCAGTAGTATTGAAAATACTCGTACGTGAACTACTCTCCATGCTCATTTTGAATGTTCTATGTGTTAAGCTTCAGTACAGTGAGACCCCCAATATGTCAGTTTGTGCAGGCGTTTTCTCTGGCTTTTTATGTGCCTTTTGATTCTTTCCTACTCCCATGTTTACCTGTTAGTGTGCGCTCATGTTAACTTTTGTCACTTTAAGGGTGGAACCAACCTGAGCAAGCAAACTGGCTTTTATTGGATACCTTTCAGGACATCTTGTCTACTGAGACGGTACAGTTTTCTACTTGGCTGTGGCTAGAATTCAGTCAGTGCCTGATCCGTCGCGGAAGCCCGATCAGTACCATCAGCTCATTTGTGGATGCGCAACCAGATATACATCTGGGTTTCCATAATTCATGTAATTATGGTTCTAAAATTACTTATTTCTATCCTTAACTCACTAAAGAACCATAATACACACATTTAAAAAATGTTTTATAATTTTTCTGAGAAAATGTTTAAACTTTATTTGATTAAGCCATGTTTAGCAACATTTTAATTGTTTCTTTCTTTAGATTACACACTATATACCATACAGTTAACAGCTCAAAAAGCTAGATTTATGTTTAAATTTAAAGCCGAAAAAGCTCCTGTAAGATCGGGACATGCCTGATCGGACACAGACGAGTGATAAAACAGAAAGGATTTTAAGGCATTTATTTTCTCAGGAAATACATTATTAACCTTTAAACATTATATTTTAGTACACTTACAGTTTTTGGGGAGAGAAAAACGTAATTTATGTCTTTTTTCAAAATAAAATCAAGGGCGACCCGGATGTATATCTGGTTGCACAATGAGCTGATGGTACGGATCATGCTTCCGGGACGGATCGGGTAGCAAAGGTTAAGTTTGCAAAGCATCTTCAGGCTAATAGCTGATATCTTCAAGAGTAGAATTCTGACTTTATACCCAACAGTCATCTTTGTCATTAAGAGACGGTTTTATAAACACAATGCTGGACATAAAAGGAAAAAGGCTTGACAGTAGCTGCAAACTGATTAGAAATGTATTCTAATTTGTGTCAACAAGAGTTCATTGTAGCCTCATTTACCTAAAAATAAACAAAGAAGGTGAGGAATGTTCTCATCTTTATAATGGAGAAACCAAACAACCTCTCCACAGACACATGGCCCAACACAGAAGAGTGACCTCCTCAGGACAAGACTCAGTGATACATCTACACCTTACCCCTTATAGACAAAGGACATTCTTTTGAGGCCCAGAACGTTTTTCTGACAGATGTCCTGTTTGTCTCTGTGTTGCCCTACGATGGACTGGCGACCTGTCCAGGGTGTACCCCGCCTCTCGCCCATAGACAGCTAGAGATAGGAACCAGCACCCCTCGCTACCCCAATTGGGACAAGCGTGTCAGTTAATGGATGAATGGATGGATGTTAAGAAAGAAAAAACAACCTTAAACAGAGGGGGTAGACTCAGATTTCCTGCTTTCAGAGTCGTTTCCTTCCTGCTATCATCGCAACCTCAACCCCTTTACAGTGAAACAGAAGACATCACCTATTCAGCCAGGCCAACAATCCCCTTTAACAACCACCTTTTCAGAGACATAGACAGGGGGGCATTGCAGGCTAACATAGAAGCCAAACGACCCCCATTCCAAAACGTTCGTCCGTTTCAACTTGCATATTTCTAAGCCAATACAAGGCTTTGTTGGGCTACTGTATTAAGCCTCGAACTCGACGCTATTCCTGACCTTTTGAATTGAAAAAAGCTTCCTGGTTGGGAAGTGGAAAGTCTTCAAACTTACAAAACAAAAGTCCAGTTGATTGTTTTTTGTATGTTTTTTTATTTTATTTTTTTTTGAATAAACAAAGAACCTAAATTGAGCTTAGTTCATGCCACCTTAAACAGAAGGTGGTATGAGTTTCAATTAAACATTTTAGCATGTTTTTACTGCTTTCAAAACACATTCATTGCTTTTTGAATATTAAGTTATTTAATAATGACGTCACTTAACTAGTGTTGGGCCGATGCCATTTTTTGACCCTGATACCTGGCTGTGCAGCATTGGCTGATACCGATACCATCTGTTTGAAATTGATGTGTGTGTGTATATGAAGAACTGCAAACTACTTGGATGTAAAATAATTGCCATCATGGCTTTGTCAAGCTGCTGCCTACCTTTGTGAAGCAGGAAAAAGACTAATACAAAGTGAATCCAGTAGAGCTTTTTATTGCCTACCTGGAATGGGTGACAATAGTTGAATAAACTTTTGGCTCTCAAAATGGTATCGGTGCCCTATTTGTTGGTACTCGCCGATACCGATACCACCATTTTAGTGCTGGATCGGGGCCCCGCCCCTTACTGGTATCAGTATCGGTGCAACACTACACTTAACCAATTTTTCAAATTTTGAGAGAAAAGCGATTAGCCTAAAGATGCTTTACTAATGTTACTAAATGCAACTAGGAAAAAAACTGCTGTCTCAAGAGGTAAGATTGCTCGCTAAATATCCAATCACTGGAAGTTTACTCTCTCTTTTGTTTCCACCCTCAATGAGAGAAAAGTTGACTTTGGAGCATAGAGACAGGTCCACACGCGAATAGAAGAGAATCTACAGTCACATTAAAAGCAGTGCAGAGAAGAAGCATTAAGTCATGCTTGGGATATAGCCTATCGGGGGCATCATGGTATTGAATCTACATGCATAGAGTGTTCAAAGTTTTTGTGGAAGTAGTTTACGTGTGTGCGCTTTAAATAAAACTGCTTGTATCGGTATTCATTGCACATGTGCACTTATGGCAGAATTCAGACTTCATAAAAAGGCATAAATGATCTATGGCTGAAAATAACTGGATAGGATATGGTGTTGCTGAAATGCATCAATAACAACCAAAACAGTGTTATATATTGAAATGTGCTGTATTGTAATTTGCTTGTTCAGCCATCAAGTGGCAGTCTGAGTTAGATTGTGTGTGGTTGACAGGGCTGGCCCCTGTGGGTGGGATGTGTGAACCAGAGAGGAGTTGCAGCATCAACGAAGACATCGGCCTGGGGACGGCCTTCACCATCGCCCATGAGATGGGTCATACGTAAGTCTCACTTAGATACAGATCTGGGAGAACTTACAATTCAGTTCACTGTGGATCCAGACATTTGAATTGAGAAAGCTTCCTGGAGGGGAAGCGAAACGTCTTCAAATCTTGGAAACCAAGTCCAGTGGATTGTTTTTTAAACTTTTATGGAATCTGGGAGTATCGTTTTATTCTGTGGGAGGAAACAAATCTTTAGCACCTTAAGAAAATGGCTGTGTTTGCAGCTATATGTCAGATCCCTCTTACAGTCTTAATCTCTCTATGTTCTTTCTAGATAATCTTTTAGGACTGTGGAAAATTACAGCAAACAGTCGGCGTAAGTGGTGTTCACTAACATGCAGTGGTTCAATTCAGCCACGTTATAAGTTTTTCAGGCGTTAAAAGTCTAGATAATCTCAAAGCATCTCAATTCTAATTAAATTAAGACTTTGACTTGGTCATAACCTTATTTCCTTCAGTCCCAGACCTTTCTTTTTGGGATCAAAGAAACAGCACTTTATGAGCTTTTTAAAGCTTGGGATATTGTTTCATAGCCTATCCCTGCTTCTTGAAACATCTAAAGCTTTCTTCTTGATCCTTTTGCTGTGATTTTAATTATGCTTTAATACATAAAAAAAATACAGTGTTCAACTATTTGAAGTGTAAAAGCGGGGTAGAAGATGCTTTAAACCTCATTCTGGTTGCTGCACTACCCAATTAAAGGAACATTTTTCTTCAGTTCAGGATGATAACTTCCTTATACTTCATTTTCTTAGTTTTATAACTAATGGTAACAGGGTAATAAGTAACTTTGCATCCTCGTGAAAAACTATATAATTTGGTATGTAGTAACAACAAGTTGGTGTTTTACTGAGTCCAACCACAAAGAAATCAGTGTCTGGATGAAATAAATTAATTTTGATGTTTGTTTTTTTAAATATCAACAGTCCATAACAAGATTGAGTATAAATAAAGTGAAAAAAACGAGTCTATTTTTAAAATGTAAGGAGTAGAAAGTACAGATAATAGCAGAAAAAATGTAAGGAGTAGAAGTAAAAAGTTGTCTAAGACATAATTACTACATTAAAGGTTAGATAGTCAAAATTTCTACTTAAGTAAGATAACAAAGTATTTTTTACTTTGTTACTTGACTCCTCGAGAAACCAGCAGAGAACAATGGAACCCTGTGAGCTTAAACACAGAGGTGAGGATGGAGGGATTAGAAAGCCAGTAAATCTAATTAGATTAAATGGTGAGTAGCTAAAGGAGGGAAACTATTAATAAAAAAAAGAGTTGAATAGAATAAGAAAGATACCAGAGAAGTTTCTCTAAATCTAGAAGGAAAAAAACGTCACATGTGCAAAGAACACCAAAGAAATGAGGATACTAATAAACTGACAAAGTCGAGACCTAAAGTACCGATCACACAGCAAGGAAACGGTCCAATTATACACACAAAGCAATAACAAAACCCAACACATCAAGGTCGTGACAGTTTGTGCTTTAATGTCATCTAAAAAACACAGCAGGCCTTCGTAGAACATCTGTTTTTATTCCTCATTAATTTGGTTTGAAAAGTAACTGACTGATTTCTTTGAGGTATCCAAGTAAAATACAATTTAGTGCCAAACATTTCAGATTTTTTTCATCAGTAAATTAATAGTTTCTTTCAACTTTTTTGTTAGTCTATCTTACGTCACTATAGAAATAGTGTTTTTAATGTTTCAAAATGTGATGAATTACAAAGTCCCTGTTTTGATGTCCAAAGTAGGACAGATTCTCATTATGCTTTTAAAAAGTCTGGTCAGTCAGGGTTGGTACAGTGACAATCTTTAAATTGCTTGTTTTTCCGAGTCCCTCTTGGTTACCACTAAGAGCATTTTTTTCAACTGCTGTCTGTAGCTGTTGCAGTGATTATTACAAGTCCACATGGCCTCAAAGTGTTGTCACTGTGTCATCACGGGCTCTAGGTTTGGGATGAACCATGACGGGATGGGGAACGCCTGTGGACCGCGGAGCCAGGAGACCGCCAAGCTGATGGCTGACCACATCACCATGAAGACAAACCCGTTCATCTGGTCGGCCTGCAGCCGCGATTACATCACCAGTTTCCTGGAGTGAGTTAGACAATGACTATCTCCAACCTTCAAATAAATGGCTAACCGTTGTTATTCAAGGAGAAAAAAAAAAAACTGTCCATTTAATGGTTTGAGAAAAATCTTTGCAGCGGGCCAGTTTTTTTTCCTCCCAACCTGCCTTTAATAAAATCTTTAAATCTGGACCAAACAATGAAAGATTGGAATTTGTTGATCTAAAATCTTCTTTTTTTTCTCTCTCCTCTGTTTGACCTGCTTCAGCTCAGGTCTGGGCTCCTGTCTGAACAACGTTCCCCCTAAGCAGGAGTTTGCGTACCCCACCACAGCACCAGGTCAAGCCTATGATGCAGATGAGCAGTGCCGCTTCCAGTATGGCGTCAGATCCAGACAGTGCAAATATGCGGTAAGCAAAAAACATATCTAGTGTTATGCATTATTTTTGGGACGTTTTCAATTTTCTAACCCAGCCTAGTGTAACCAAAGAGCTCAATAGGGAACATCTGTTTTTTTTTTTTTTTTTGAAGAAAGAAAACAAGGAAACAAAAAATGATTATAAAAGTTTTTATGTCAGCAATTTAACATCAAAGACCACAAATATTCCATTTGTTGTTCCCAAGGCGTCCATCTTGGGGTCCCTCCTATTCATTATCTACATTCTCCCTCTAATTTAACTTATAATAAATAACAGCATTTATCAAAACTATGCAGACAACACAAAGTTGTACTTTACAATGTCACCAGGTGACGATGAACCCATTAAATTGCTGCATGGAAGAAATTAACACATGGAGGTTCCAAATTTTTTTTAAGCTGAATCAAAACAAATATGAAGCAGTATTTTTTGGGCAAAAGAAAGATCGATATGAAGTTAGTAAATAGATTCAGTGGATCCCACTAGAAACAACAATCTGGCTCTAAATCTCTGAGCAGTAATGGACTCAGTCCTAAAACTTCAAATGCTCATAGAGACAGGAGCAAAGTCGACTTTCTATCACCTAAAGAAAATCTGCAGGATTTAAAGGGCTAACCTCTCAGCAGGACCCTGAAAAGCTAATTCATGTGTTCATCTTTAATATAATTGATTCCAGCAGCACTGTCTTCACATGTCTGCCTAAAAATCCAACAGACAGCTACAGTTGATCCAGGTTGCTGCTGCCTGCATCCTCACTAAAACATAGAAAGTCGAGATCATCAGCGCAGTTCTAAAATCCCACTAGCTCCACATATCTCGGATAATAGACTTTAAAATACTTCATTTATTCTGTAAGTCACTGAAAGCCTTAGCACCCAAATAAATTAGACACTTGTCAGTGTTTCAACCCACAAGACCACTCAGGTATTCTATAATTTACATTTTGTTCCATTATTGTTAATACCAAAGCACAAGTTTTTTAAATGGAAGTGTGAAAAAAATAAAATAAAAAAAAGACAATTGTGCTAGAGAAATCTAACTATGAGAAAAGTTTAATTAAAAATAGGACTGCTTATTGTAAGTTCTTCTGACTCATTAAAAGTTAAAAGTAACTCAGGCCCACTCTGTTTTCGCTGCTCACTCTTCGTTTATTTTGCACCTCTTTTTACCTGTATCCCTGTGATACAACACATCTTGCAATACTTTACTAGGACAGCCTTCTTTTTATTGCATGGTCAGGTTTTTACGAGGCCGCCGTCAGAGCAAACGGACATCTGGAGCGGCGTGCGGCTTCATATACTCATTATTATAGGTTCTATGTTGTCAGCGCATGTACATAATAAAAATATACACTTAAGTGTTGACAGCTCCAGAGGGAAGAGAGGTTAAGGTGAATGACAGTTTCTGCCTGTTGATCATAAATAAGAATAATGTTTCTCGTACCGTTTGCCTTGTTTCTGTCTATGAAACTTCTTCAATGGATTTAGTCTCCTCTCTCTGATACCTACAGGAGGTCTGCAGTGAACTGTGGTGCATGAGTAAGAGCAACCGCTGCATCACCAGCAGTATACCCGCTGCAGAGGGAACCATCTGCCAGACTAATACAATTGAGAAAGGGGTGAGCTCTGAAAATAATACTCCAATGTTTATGTATCTTAACCAAAGGGCTTGAAAGTTTAAGTCTTCATTTTGAAAAGCAAAATTGGATGAGCAAGTTTTAATGTATTATTGATTTCCTCTGTGCATAGCCGGTGGCTACAGGCCTCCAAAGGTTCATGGATTAGTGAATCTAGCGTGAAAGAACTTCACAGGCCAGCGCAGCTGTGGAGTGATTTTTGTTCCATTATCGTTGCAAGCAAAGAACACATTTTATTAATGGAGATATGAACAAAAAAAAATATTTTTTTTTTGCGTCTTACATGCCCATCAAACAGGGAATGTGAAAAAAAAAACAATCCAGATATAAATCATTACCCTATAATGAAATAAAAGTCTTAATAAAAGTTTTAAGAGTAGCTTTGGTGTTTTCATAATTTCCATTTTTTCAATATTTTTTTTTTTAAACGTGTTTTTTGTTTCCTTTTTTTTTTTTATAGATTTTATGTTTTCAAATTGCTGAAAATTGCATCTTCTTGGTGTTACATTTCTTACATTTAAGCCAAAAAAAAAAGAGAGGCAAATGTGAACTTTGTTCAAGTTTGTGAGCGTTGCTACTTCTCTTCTGAGCAGGACGTTAAATATATGTAAATAACATTAGTGGATCTAGCAATTGGCTTGTAAACATTATGGAATCCAAGCTGGGGAGCACGAGTAAGCTGGGAGTTAACTTTAGCTATCACCTTTAAAATCATTTGGATTTTGAAAATAAAAAAACAAACTATAAAACTGTAGAGAAGAAAATCTACATATTTTGTTGTCAAAGTTCAATTTTGCGTGATTGCGAGAGCCTTTCACATTTTAAGCACACACATCAATTGAAATTGATGAAAAAAAGACCCATTTGGTGAATCTATAGTAAAATATTATGATGTGTCCTCAAGTCACTAAAGTGAAGAAGGCCCAAACTGTGACCTTTACATAAAAACAAGTGAAGGAAAATCAGTAAATATGCCTTATATTTGTATATCTGCTACAGTGGTGCTTCAAGAGGGTGTGTGTTGCATATGGCACTCGTCCAGAGGGCGTGGATGGAGGCTGGGGTCTGTGGTCCGCCTGGGGGGAGTGCAGCAGGACCTGTGGAGGTGGAGTCTCCTCTTCTGTCCGTCATTGTGACAGCCCCAGGTGCAGATTTACTTATTCCTATTGTGGTAAAGTAATTGACAGAAACTTAGGAAACAGTTGGCAAATTAGAGATTTGATTTTGAAGTTTTTAAGACTACAGAGTAACTGTAATAATACATGAATAAGATAACTTCAGTGAGCTGCAGGAGGGTTGAGCATAAGTTCTGTTTCTGCTGGAGGTTTCTCCCCCATTAAAAGGGGGTTTTTCCTCTCCACTGTCGCTACAAGCATGCTTAGTGTGAGAGATTGCCTTCGGGTCGATGAGTCAATGCAATCAACTGGTTTTCCTTAGATATAAAACTTTAAATCAATTTGACTGTATGATCTGGTGAACTGTAAAGTGCCTTGAGATGACGTGTACTGTGAATTGGCGCTATAGAAATAAACTGAATTGAAAGAAGAAATTCTGGAAGGAAATCTTTATCTCAAGACTAAAACGTTGCCCATGCAATTTAGAGAAACATGAACATGTAAAATAAAAACAAAAAACAAACCAGGAAGTAAAGAAGACAAGCTCATCCACCCGAGACATGTTTTCATACATTTTGTTGTTGACTTTTGTTCCCTGTTTTAGTAATATTACTTGATCAAACCTTATGTAATATTCTACAGTGTCAAATAAATAATAAAAGCAGGTAAGAGTCATGCTAATATCATACCGGATCAATATCTGCAATCCTCAAAGCTGCATTATTTGTATGGTATCGTCATTAATCCTCTATTCATTTACAACTCTTTGCTGTGCATTTTGGGCTCCGTCAAAGAACAAGAACATAATGAAACTACTCTTTAGAGAGGCTATCGGTTTTAGACTGAGAGGCCTGACAGAGGTTCCCCTGCATTGAGTGTTGTTTATCAGCCTTTTAAACTCTTTCATTGTTTATGTTTCCCCAGTAGTGTTGAAACAAACCCCTGAGTATTGTTTCTTCAATAAAAGACCCTTCATACTTGCAGCAGTAGAGTCCAAATCCATGCAGAACGTCTAATCTTTTAAATCATTGTCACTGGACAGCTCATCTTGAAATGATTAAAGTAAGAAAGTCCTGACCCAAATCCAAGGCCAACAATTTTCTCCTGTTTCGTTTAAGACCATTGTTTTCCACATTTGCTCTGGGTTTACTTTGCCAAAATATGTCGAAAACGCAGGAAAAGCAGCCAGTTGCAAAACAAACTGATGAGTTTTTAGCATTTAGAAATATTCCCTTGTTGGCATACACTGTAGCTAAAGTAAAGTCTAATCAATGCACCTGAAAAAACGAAAATAAGGGCAAGAAAACGCTGAGCTTTGAATCTGTGCTGATGTAATGGATGATTGATGGAGTCAAACTCAGCTCATATGGGACGGACTGATCCAGCTGTGTGCTTCTTTGACCGTAGGCCAACCATTGGTGGAAAATACTGTCTGGGAGAAAGAAAACGCTTCAGGTCCTGTAATATTGATGTAAGTTTGGCTCAGTGTTTATCATCACTGCTATAAATGTGTCCTTACACGTTCGTCTATAGTACTCACATTCATTGAAATATGATTTACTTGCATACACTGTTTGAATGCTTATAGTTATTTTAAATAATATGCCTATTTTTATAAAATACAGGAGTGTCCTGCAGGCTCCAGGGACTTCAGAGAGATCCAGTGCTCTGAGTTTGATAGCACTCCTTTCAGGGGGAAATTTTACACCTGGAAACCGTACAGAGGAGGTGAGGATGTATTTGTTTGGTTTCTGCTAAAGCTTAGTGGGATTTTGTATTTATCAATCATTGTAGCAGTGGATGCCCACTGCCTCTCTCTACACTTATAATGATTCATATAAATGAAAATTGTTTGATTTCCTTGTGTCTCTTTTTACTAATGAGACAAGAGGACACAAAGTTTCCCTCCGATGGATCTGTTTCCACTCAACTCTGCTCAGTTTATTTATTTAGCACCAATCAGTGTTGTTTTCATCAACAATGATGAAATTATTCAGTTGATTCTCCTTTTTTTCATGAGGATAATGAGAACTGACAAGTTAACATGAATCTTTGATGGCGAAGACATGATGAGTCATGGGTGTCAGTTCGTTGACAGGACGAGAAAAAAAATGTTATTGGGTGGTCTGTCACCGGTTTAAAATGCATCATTCTGCTGTAATCTACTAAGCATTATCAGCCATGCTGCGTCCTGTTTGGTCATGCCGCCCACCTGGCGTGCAGAGGTGCACATTCTACATGACTACAGGTGGACCGTCGCAGCAGCAGCAGGGATGAAAATAATCCGGAATCTTCTGTATTATTTTCAAGATTATTTTCAAGCTTATTTTTAAGACTGACGAACTCTGCTCTTGGCTTAGGGTGATGGCTGCTCTGATCTGATGGCCCTCTGAGCCTGGTTCTGCTGGAGGTTTCTTCCTGTTAATAGGGAGTTTTTTCTCTCCACTGTCACTACAAGCCTGCTTAATTTGAGGGATTAGATAGAAAACTTTGAATCAATTTGACTGGATGATCTGGTGAACTTTAAAGTGCCTTGAGATAAAATTTGTTGTGAATTGGCGCTATTCAAATAAACTGAATTTAATTGCTCTTCCAGCTGTGCTTGTGCAGAAATGCATCTTTGTGCGCTATTAGCTCCGAGCAGGGCTTTACATTCCACAGTGATGGTTCGCTCTTAGCTGTATGGCTCTTCCTGCTCTCGCTACTTAATAAACTATATGTGGCTGATCATCCTCTGCCAAGCGTAAAAAATCCTTTTTTCTAACTATCAATATTTTATTTCTTCCAGCTCACAAGAGGTGATGCAAAACCTACTTTAATTTCCACCAAAAGGAATCCCTAAATTATATCCAAAGCAAATATTTCACTGCAACCTGTTAAATCTGATAAATGTAGTATCTAGGCAAGAGCTGTCAGTCTGGTAAGGAATATTGATGTTATTCAAAATTGTAAACTTTAACTTTTAAAAATTGAAACGTAAAACCGACTAAAACCTTTTTGAGTTTTAGTCCACTAAAACTGACTAAAACTGTCACATATAGTAATGACTAAAATATGACTAAAACTAATAATTGGTTTCGTCTTAAAGACAAAAACTGAGACTAAATCTATCCAATCCAGTCCACTTTATTTATATAACACATTTAAACAACAAAAGGTTTCCAAAGTGCTGCACTTGCAACAAGGTTAATATAAAACAATAAACATAAATAAAACTGTTTAATACAATAAACACAGTAAAATAAATACAAAGCCACAGGGGACCACACAACTTACAAAATGGTAAAAGCCAGAGAATAAAAGTGACATTCCACAGTGGGGGCCATACGTACATCAAGGGGCAAAGCATTCCATAGCTTAGGGCCAACAACGGAGAAGGCTCTGTCCCCTCTGGTTTTCCGATTTGTCCTAAGAGTCACAAGCTGAAGCTGGCCCTCAGACCTCAAAGCGAGCAGGGGATGGTATATTGGGATGAGGTCTGCTATGTACTGGGTGCCAGTCCATTCAATGCTTTGAAAATAAAAAAACAATATGTTAAAACCAATTATAAACTTAACTGAGCCAGTGCATTGGGGTGATGTGTTCACGTTCTTTGGTGCCCGTTAAAAGTCGTGGCCCAGCGTTCTGGACTAAAGGGCTGGTTATATTCCCCGCAGCGGCGTGTCGCATTGAGCTTGTCGCAGATGCGCCACGCCACAAAGCAATCGCAAAAAAGCAACAATCAGGAACTAGCTGTGAGTATAGATATGGCCGAGGCGGTGAGGAGGTGGGGGCCAGATTGAGTGACAACAGAAGGACATGAGGGCGAAAAAGAGTGGAGATCCAGGTGAAAAAAGGGTCCCAGCATTCTTGTGCACCTCGCTTATCTAGCTGGTCCATCGTGGCGAGTTGTATTCCGTAATTGCGGTCATACAAACAAAACAAGCCGGTATGGTACCAAAGAGGAAATACGCATAGTGTAGAGCGGATGTAGATTTGACCAATCAGGGGCCTCCTGTCTGCAGCACTGTCTGTGAACACCTACAACTTTGGAGAGGTGCAGCAGAGTGTCTGCGGAGGGGGCGGGGGCACGTTTGCGTTCACTGCGACAGACACAGATGACCTGGTTTCTGAGTATAAATCAGCGCGAAAGTGCTTTGTGGCTGATACCCGAATAAAGTGCATTGCAGTAGTCCAGAGGACTTGAAACAAATGAATGCACGACTTGCTCGAAAAGTTTAAAAGATAAAAATGGCTTAAAAAACGGGTAAAAGACCAAGGTGATAAAAACCTGATTTTAAAATGCCATTGATCTTTTTATCAAATTTAAAGTTGCTATCTATGATGACGCCAAGGCTGGTAACTTTCTAAGATGGCTGTAAAAAAAAAAAAACTTGCACCAATTTACAAGACGTCATCTTCAGGAACTTAACCAACAGAATTAGAAAATCTAGTCAGATTGGTTTAAAGTTTTATCTCTAAGGAAAACCAGCTGATCGCATCGAAGCAATTTATGTTTCCATCAGCTTTTTCAAATGAGCAGCTTTTTCATTTTGAAATATTGCATCAAAAAAGGTTTATGGAAATGACAATATTTAATATTTTATATAAATTCAAATATTTTATGTTTGCCTGAAGTGGTTTTTGGCTTTTGTAAAAAAAAAAAAAAAAGGTTGATGCACAAAATGTGAGATGGAAATAATTTTTAAAAAATCAGTTCTGATGCAGTGAATTTGTACTCACACGTCAGCTGTTTCTGATGTCTGTGTTTTCCATGATGTTCCTGTTATGTGTATAAACAAGGCTGAAAGCAGCATTGCCATTACTCGCAGACATGTTAACCTACTGTAAGAGCAGCTTCCCTGATCATTCATTAAAACATTCCTCCATTACTGACCTGTGGTCAGTGCTAGATTGAAGCCTCTACTCCCTGTTCACTACAGCTATTCATAACAATGCAATATAGGCGATGACATAGGACGCTTTTGCGGTTAAATTTTTTCAGACCAAAAGGAAACACTGCAAATTCGCATTTACTTTTGCCAAACTTTCAAAAGTTTGCTTAAAATGACCAGTTCACTGCAGTTGATCCAGCAGTCCAAACTTTCTCTGCTCTCTTTTTCTCATTATCTTCTCCTTCTTTCCCATCGCCCGGCTTGCCACAGGTTTGCCTGCTGGGTCTAAAAGTAGCAGCAGCAGCAACCCAGACTGACAGCAGCTTATAGGCTAATTTTTATCACATGCAGCCTGGTGCTGGAGGCTACAAATGGCTTTACCGTACAAACAGGAGAAGCGTTGCAAGTGAAGTTAGACACTGTCATCAGACAAGAGGCAGTAATTTATAAATGTTTTAAATCAGGTTGGGTCTGGATTAGCCAGCAGGTGGGTCCGGATCCACTAATCTGTGACCTCTGCTCTACAGGAGTCCCGCACACAAGGCATACATGTTCTGCTCACAGCCCCCTTTCTGTTTCCTTAGCGAAGTGAGTATTGAACTCTTGGATCAGGTACTTGCTAGACACATGGTTTCCCTACGTACCTCACTATGTAGCCTGAGAGCCCCTTTACTCAGGGGTAGCAAGCCAGAGAAGTGCTAGCTGAGATTTGGAAAACAGAAGGAATTTGTTCTAAACTGAAAGTGACATCTGCGAGCACTTTGGATTTGAACTGAATGACAACATGAACCACTTAACTTGTGTGAGGAAATGTGATCTTTAAAACGTAATTTAAAAAGAAAGCAATTTGTAAACCTCAATCTGAAAAGTTGTGAAGATAGAAAGTAAAAAAAAAACTTTAAAAAAATTATTGGAGAAAATAAAATCTGAAAAAAACCAGCAAAGTTAATCTCAAAAGATATTTTCATTAAAAAAGATTTTAAAAATGACTCTCTGGGTTGCTTTTTTTTTTTTTTTAATTTCCATTGACAGAAACATGCTCTTTGCTTGCATTAATACTGGAACAAAAACACATATTTTGCATTAGTTGTTACTTCGGTTTGCTGTACCTGCTGGAAACACGTCTAATTCACATTTACTTTTTTCCTAAGTTTTAAAAGTTTGCTCAAAGGTAACATAAGAATTGGATAGAGAAGTGGTTAATGATGTACTGTACGCACATCAAACCCTAGTAACTTTTTATTGTTGGAAAACTGTCTTGTTTAACGAGGGATGGACTTGATGTGTTTTTGGCCTTCTGTATCGCTCTAAAAACGTTTTGCAAGGCTTAGTTGCATGTAAATGTAGCAGGATTTAAATAAAACATGACTCTTAAAACAAAGGCTCTAAACAGTAATAATTAAAACTCAGTGAGGGGCAGAGGAGTTGGAACAGTGTTTTTAGTTAATAACTAAAGGGTTCATGAAATAAATAGATGTAACTTGTGCTTATCTAATGCTTGATTTATGGTGACAGTGGCAGAGGAAGCTTGAGTTTGTCCTGCAACCTAAGGGCCAGCGGTTTGAACTCCAGCTCTGTTTGTCTCAGTTTGTCCATCCAACAGCAGGATGCATCCCCAGCATTGCTTACTAATGGAGGTCAGAGGCAGCTTCGCTTCTGTCAGTGTGCACCGGGGCAGCTATGGCTGCAATGTAGCTCACCGCTATCGGTCAATATAGTGTCCAGTTTAGACAGTTTAGAATCCCCTGACTTGAAAAGGCACTCTATAAATACAGCTCATTTATCAACATTTTTATATTAAACAGCATTTCGATAAAAAATATCATATTTGACCTGAGGAGGCTGCTCAGTGAC